TCTTTTTCTCTATATTTCGTTGTGTGGAGGTTGTTGCTGCCCTGTTATTGCGATATGAAGCTGCCGGCAAAGCTATAAATTTCAGGGCTCGTACAGTCAATTACAGTCATGTTTCTCGCATCTGCTCAGCAAGACGGACTGTTGACATTTATTTGGTAGGAGCGGGCAAAATTGGTTTTTACGCATATTCATGCTCATGTCTCGGTATATATGGTTGCAGCACTCCTGTAAGCATGAACTAGTTTGTGCATGTACTGGTACAAAGGCTTAAAACATTCCTGTAATCTATGATCTCAAAAATATAATGAACATTTGACAGTTCTTATGTACATTTACATTCCTCTCAGTAATTAATTATGTAATATATATATATATATATATTTTATATATATATATATATATATATATATATATATATATATATAGGTGAAGGTTTATAAACTAAAAGAGGAGGCAGTTAGGGTAAGATATAAACAGCTATTGGAAGATAGATGGGCTAATGAGAGCATAGGCAATGGGGTCGAAGAGGTATGGGGTAGGTTTAAAAATGTAGTGTTAGAGTGTTCAGCAGAAGTTTGTGGTTACAGGAAAGTGGGTGCGGGAGGGAAGAGGAGCGATTGGTGGAATGATGATGTAAAGAGAGTAGTAAGGGAGAAAAAGTTAGCATATGAGAAGTTTTTACAAAGTAAAGTGATGCAAGGAGGGAAGAGTATATGGAGAAAAAGAGAGAGGTTAAGAGAGTGGTGAAGCAATGTAAAAAGAGTGAGATGTTATCAACAAATTTTGTTGAAAATAAGAAAAAGTTTTGGAGTGAGATTAACAAGTTAAGGAAGCCTAGAGAAAAAATGGATTTGTCAGTTAAAAATAGGAGAGGAGAGTTATTAAATGGAGAGTTAGAGGTATTGGGAAGATGGAGGGAATATTTCCAGGAATTGTTAAACGTTGATGAAGATAGGGAAGCTGTGATTTCGTGTATAGGGCAAGGAGGAATAACATCTTGTAGGTGTGAGGAAGAGCCAGTTGTGAGTGTGGGGGAAGTTCGTGAGGCAGTAGGTAAAATGAAAGGGGGTAAGGCAGCCGGGATTGATGGGATAAAGATAGAAACGTTAAAAGCAGGTGGGGATGTAGTTTTGGAGTGGTTGGTGCAATTATTTAATAAATGTATGGCAGAAGGTAAGGTACCTAGGGATTGGCAGAGAGCATGCATAGTTCCTTTGTATAAAGGCAAAGGGGACAAAAGAGAGTGCAAAAATTATAGGGGAATAAGTCTGTTGAGTATACCTGGTAAAGTGTATGGTAGAGTTATTATTGAAAGAATTAAGAGTAAGACAGAGAATAGGATAGCAGATGAACAAGGAGGCTTTAGGAAAGGTAGGGGGTGTGTGGACCAGGTGTTTACAGTGATACATATAAGTGAACAGTATTTAGATACGGCTAAAGAGGTCTTTGTGGCATTTATGGATTTGGAAAAGGCGTATGACAGGGTGGATAGGGGGGCAATGTGGCAGATGTCGCAGGTGTATGGTGTAGGAGGTAGGTTACTGAAAGCAGTGAAGAGTTTTTACGAGGATAGTGAGGCTCAAGTTAGAGTATGTAGGAAAGAGGGAAATTATTTCCCAGTAAAAGTAGGCCTTAGACAAGGATGTGTGATGTCACCGTGGTTGTTTAATATATTTATAGATGGGGTTGTAAGAGAAGTAAATGCGAGGGTATTGGCAAGAGGCGTGGAGTTAGAAGATAAAGAATCACACATAAAGTGGGAGTTGTCACAGTAGCTCTTTGCTGATGACACTGTGCTCTTGGGAGATTCTGAAGAAAAGTTGCTGAGGTTGGTGGATGAGTGTGGTAGGATACGTAAAAGAAGAAAATTGAAAGTGAATACAGGAAAGAGTATGGTGATAAGGATAAAAAAAATAGGTAACAATGGACTGGATATCAGATTGGAGGGAGAGAGTATGGAGGAGGTGAATGTGTTCAGATATTTAGGAATGGATGTGTCAGCAGACGGGTGTATAAAAGATGAAGTGAATCATAGAATTGATGAGGGAAAAAAGGTGAGTGGTGCACTGAGGAATCTGTGGAGACAAAGAACTTTATCCATGGAAGCAAAAAGAAGAATGTATGTGAGTATAGTTATACCAACGCTCTTATATGGGTGCGAAGCATGGGTGGTGAATGTTGCAACAAGGAGAAGGCTGGAGGCAGTGAAGACGTCTGGGATCAGGACTCATGCTGCTGAAGTCGTCGCAGCCCTTAAAGGCAGAAACATGAAAAGACAGGACCAGCGAGCAGCTAAGATTGGATTTCCGGGAACAGGACTCGTGCGTTGTGTATCATTGGTATTTAATACCGACAAGATGATGAATAATGCACATGTGCAACATCTGGGTATCTTTACTTGCAGACGTTTCGCCATCTAGTGGATTTATAATGCATTAGTGTACATGAATGGTATACAGTACGGACAAGATGAAGAATTGGACACATGTGCAACATCTGTTGACATTGTTGACGTAGCTTTATCAATACAACACAAGGATATAATGTGATGAATGTAGAATTATATATAAAAAATGAGGTAATCAGTCCCTCATCCTTAGAGTTGGTAAAGAACACCGTAGTCTTGAAGAATTTGAAACATAGGCTTGGAGTTTGTCGCTTATATACTGGCGTCATGTGAGGGACGTGTAGTACAAGAAAGCATTGTCACTAGTAGGCGGGATTTCTAAGTGGAAGTAGTTCATACCCAAAGCTTGCTTCAGTATGACCTACTTCCACTGGGGAATCCCGCCTACCAGTGGCACTGCCTTCAAATGCTGCATCTCCTTCATCTGATGCTTTTATATAAACGTTAAGCTTCCTGCCTGTACTTCAGATTCTTATGTTCTTATGTTCTTACTACGGTGCTCTTCACCAACTCCAAGGCTGAGGGATTGATTTCTTCTACATTCTTCACATTATATCCTTGTATTGCACTGATAAAGCCACTGTTTGGCAAAACGTCTACAAAGATACCCAAATGTTGCACATATGTCTAATTCATCAGAACTCATAAAGCTCAAGGCATCATAGATAAAATCAACAACACACAGGACCAGCAACACGGTGATGCGATGTCGTAACTTCTGCGTTTCTTACCTCCTTACGATTATCGTTATTTTCACGAGTCGGACTCTCCGTTATTACGAAGGCAAATAGCGACGAGGTACAACGTACCAGATGCCTTCAAGATTTCTCATGGTGATAACCGTCATTAATCACCTGTCAGTGGTAACAACCTCGGTATACAACCACAGGACTCGGATTCACTCCCTCTGTTTACATACACATAAATAATTACCTGGGTCTTTATCGATCTTTTTCTTCCTTTTAGTGAAATTGAATACATCAGTAGCGTTCTATTATACAATAGCTACGCAGTGGTAACAATAGCTACGCAGTGGTAACAAAAGCTAGTTGTTTCCCCTGTCATATTTTTCACACAGGATGGGTAACGAACGTAGTGTGGAACATTGTCAGCCTTAGCTCAGAGGTATCATTACGGCGATGAGGATATCGTCACGTATTCCATTAAGGTTCATCAGATACAGTAGCTTCAAAGGTTTCCTTCCAGCAGAGCTGCAATTACTGTCACTTGGGAATTACCATCTCTCAGGATAGCCTATCCCATACATAGCAAAAAGGGAATTCTTATGAAGATATCTATACAGTCTCCCGGCTCAGGCTGAGACTACTGAAGTCTCTCATCTCAGACTGACACTACTAAAGTCTCCCATTTCAGGCTGACACTAGTGAAATCTCCTATCTTACGCTGACAGTGCTGAAGTCTCCCATCTCAGGCTGAATGTTTAAATACCATAAACACGTTTTAAGATGATATATAGCAGGGAGACAGATATATTTTGTTCACACTCTGTAACTATCATATATAATAGTGTAGCAACACACTGCTGATGTATCTAATTATAATATATAAAAATTCATTGGCTGACCAGCCGATGCGTGCGGCCAGCAGCAACAGCCTAGCTGATGAGGCCTCGATCCTTCAGGAGGCCTGGTCTGGGACCATGCCGAGGGGGCGATGACCCCCCGGAAACGACCCTCAGGTGTCTTTGAGGTAACCCATCCAGATTTTGTACCACCACCACCACTACAATCACCACCACAACTGCCATCACCACCACCACCCACGACCATCGCACCACAGCTACAATCACCACCACCACTACAACCACCACTACCACCACTACAACCACCACCACCACTACCATCACCACCGCCCACGACCATCACACCACAACTACAATCATTCTCATCGCCAATACCGCCACCATTACCCCCGCAATTGTCACCACCACCACCACCACTTCCATCACCATCTCTTCCAATATTACTACCATCAACAGCAACACAAACACTACCGCAGCCGGCGACGCCGCCGTCGCCGCCGCCGCTGCCACCAGCGTCACCCCATCAACGTTACATCTGTCTTCATCACCCTCCCATATCTCTCATAAATTTCCAGCCTCCACTCAAATTTCTGCTTCACACTCTGTAATTGATGTCTTCATAAAGTGTGTGTGTGTACTCACCTATTTGTGGTTGCAGGGGTCGAGTCACAGCTCCTGGCCCCGCCTCTTCGCTGATTGTTACTAGGTCCTCTCTCTCCCTGCCCCATGAGCTCTATCATACCTTGCCTTAAAACTGTGTGTGGTTCCCGCCTCCACTACGTCACTTTCTAGTCTATTCCACGGCCTGACTACTCTATGACTGAAGAAATACTTCCTAACATCTCATTTGAGTGTGTGTGTGTGTGTGTGTGTGTGTGTGTGTGTGTGCGTCTGCATCTCCGTCATGTTTCACTCCATGTATAGCATTATTAAGTCGTATTTCACAATTTTAACTAATCAATAACAAGACAGAAAAACACAGACTGTGTCTTCTTGCTATGTCGACATAGATCTATCCTATGCGTCACATACACAAATTTGACCACATACCTGCGCGTATAGAGATGAGAAGAAGGAGAGCAGAGAGATGCAGCGTCCTCATTGGTGGAACAGCCGCAGCATCCGGTGGCGTCATGGCAATGCTGATGTCCTATTGGTCAAGAGCGGATTAGAAGTCTTGGGGATTCTTACGCCCCATTTCAATACTGTTTTCACGCTGTAACTGCTCTCATTTCTATCACTGTTGCCTTCACGGTATCACTGACATCACTGTTCATCTGACGTCCCCTGAATTCCAGTCTGGCTCTTCCTTCAATGCATTCTTTTTTCACTTCTTTCTCCCTACCAGATTTACGAGGCCTCTGACTTCAATTCTTTACAGAGCGCCACTGACTTCATTCCTGTTATTCAACACATTATCGCCTTCATTCATTTCATTCACAGTGCCACTGATTTCATTGTTTTCTTATGTCACTGCCTTCATTCCTGTCATATACAGTTATACTACCTACTTACTTAATTTTCCTTAGGGATAGAAGCTTCTTTCACAATAATATTCACTGTATGGCACTGCTGCAATCATTTTGCAAAGCCACTGCATTCATTACATGGAACAATTGCCTTCTTTCATGAAGCCACTGCATTCATTTTATAGCACTGCTGCATTCTTTTTAAATTCTGTTTTCACCTTGCCCTTCCCTGCTTTCAACAAATTCTTTCATTACATTCAGTGAATTCATTTCACCAATGGTTCTGAAACATTGCATTCACTAAGCTACTTCATTCATGGGACTTCCTTCAAAACATAACTATCTCCACTGCCTTCATTTGCCTTAAAGCAAATCGTTTCTTTCACCGCGAAATATCGTACGCATTATTTCATTCATTATGTTAAGCTCTGTCTTCACTTTCTTCAATTTATCCCTGCATTCATTGCATTCATTGGGGCAATGCATTCAACTGAGACCCTTTTCTCATCAACAACTTTATTCGCTGTCCCACTGCTTTCACTGTACCACTGCCTTCACTGTAACACTTCATTCAGTGTACCACTGTCTTCACTGTAACACTTCATTCAAAGTCCGACTGCATTCAGCGTTCCACTTCCTGCATTGTTCACCTCACTGACTTCAATTTTGCAGTGATTTCATTCTATCGTTTCCTTGGGTGTACCACTGCCTTCATTGCACTGCTTCCTTCACTGCATCAATGACTTCATTGCATCACTGCCTTCAGTTCATCACAGAATTGTTCGATCACTTCTTTCACTGTACTGCTTGCTCGCCATCGTCACTGCTTTCACAGTTACTGTTCTTTCACTGTTCACTGCTACCTCAGGCTTCTTTCACTGTCAGGAAGGAAACAATATGTTAATTAGAAATGTTTTTTTTAAACATCTTAAGTTTCACATCGATCGACTACACGATTATTGTCTGTCTTCCACCTGTGTTCACAAACTATTGTGTTCGATTATTATGTTCACTGATTATTGTGTTCATTGATTGTGTTCACTGTGTTTACTGATTGTGTTCACTGGTTGTGTTCACTGTGTTCACTGATTGTGTTCACTGCTTATTGTGTTCACTTCCTATTTTGTTCACTTCTTATTGTGTTCACTTCTTATTGTGTTCACTGATTGTGTTTACTGATTGTGTTCACTGGTTGTGTTCACTGATTGTGTTCACTGCTTATTGTGTTCACTTCTTATTGTGTTCACTTCTTATTGTGTTCACTGCTTATTGTGTTCACTTCTTATTGTGTTCACTTCTTATTGTGTTCACTGCTTATTGTGTTCACTGATTATGTTCACTGATTATTGTCTTCACTTACTATTGTGTTCACCTTATATTATGTTCACATTTCATTGTGTTCACACCTTATTGTATTCACACTTTACTGTGTTCACTTACTATTGTGTTCACTTACTATTGTATTCACACTTTACTGTGTTCACTTACTATTGTGTTCACTTACTATTGTGTTCACACTTTACTGTGTTCACACTTTACTGTGTTCACTTACTATTGTGTTCACTTACTATTGTGTTCACTTACTATTGTGTTCACTTACTATTGTGTTCACACTTTACTGTGTTCACTTACTATTGTGTTCACTTACTATTGTGTTCACACTTTATCGTGTTCACACCTTATTGTGTTCACAACTTATTGTGTTCACAACTTATTGTGTTCACACCTGTGTTCATTTACTACTGTGTTCACACCTTACTGTAATCACTTACTATTGTGTTCACTGCTTATTGTGTTCACACCTTACTGTGTTCACACCTTACTGTATACACTTACTATTGTGTTCACATTTGTGTTCACACCTTATTGTGTTCAATAAAAGCCATTCTCTGAGCTGGATAAGGCAGGATAACACTAAGGTGGAACCTGAAACAAAAGACAAAGGAGCGAAACGTTTTTATTTGTACTACTTTTCGCCCCTTGCAGAGTTTTGATAAACATCAATTTTGATATAAATATATGATGTAAATATATACTTTTTTATGTATGATAATATAAAGAAATCAGGGCGAAACGTGCACAAATAAGCCGTACATAGTAAAAAGAAACGTCGTCGTAATGATCTTCCTCTATATACGGGTTACATATGTATTATTCCAATCAGGATACTGTGCCTTTCTATTCGTTAGCGAAACGTGCTCACTGTAGGTGAGCCTCTCGCTGTCACCTGAACACCTCCGTTTCCAGTGTGTTGGGCTGGATAAAAATTTAAGCTCTTATGGAGGAAAATGTCTTTTCAGATCAAAACACAGGCTACAGGGACTTGCTTCAACTTACGCCGCGCCTGGAGTCGATTTCAGGGGGTCAGCGCCCCCTGTGGTCAGCTCCTATACTAGGCCTCGAAGTTGCTGGTCTAATCGAGTAGGCTTTTGCTGCCAGAGGCATGTATAAGGAACACAAAATAGTTATCCTCACGCCTCTTGTGTTCTGGGATTCTCTAGCGGTGTTTTTTTTTAATACATCGGCCGTTTCCCACCTTGGTAGGGTGACCCGAAAAAAGAAACACTCATTATTATTCAATCCGTCACTGTCTTTCCAGAGGCATGCTTACCTGGAGTTTACCTGGAGAGAGTTCCGGGGGTCAACGCCCCCGCGGCCCGGTCTGTGACCAGGCCTCCTGGTGGATCAGAGCCTGATCAACCAGGCTGTTGCTGCTGGCTGCACGCAAACCAACGTACGAGCCACAGCCCGGCTGATCCGGAACAGACTTTACGTGCTTGTCCAGTGTCAGCTTGAAGACTGCCAGGGGTCTGTTGGTAATCCCCCTTATGTATGCTGGGAGGCAGTTGAACAGTCTCGGGCCCCTGACACTTATTGTATGGTCTCTTAACGTGCTAGTGACACCCCTGCTTTTCACTGGGGGGATGGTGCATCGTCTGCCAAGTCTTTTGCTTTCGTAGTGAGTGATTTTCGTGTGCAAGTTCGGTACTAGTCCCTCTAGGATTTTCCAGGTGTATATAATCATGTATCTCTCCCTCCTGCGTTCCAGGGAATACAGGTTTAGGAACCTCAAGCGCTCCCAATAATTGAGGTGTTTTATCTCCGTTATGCGCGCCGTGAAAGTTCTCTGTACATTTTCTAGGTCGGCAATTTCACCTGCCTTGAAAGGTGCTGTTAGTGTGCAGCAATATTCCAGCCTAGATAGAACAAGTGACCTGAAGAGTGTCATCATGGGCTTGGCCTCCCTAGTTTTGAAGGTTCTCATTATCCATTACACTACACTACACTACACTTGCACTACAGTTATAAAACTGCAACATTAACACCCCTCCTTTAGAGTGCAGACACTGTACTTCCATCTCCAGGACTCAAATTCAGCCTGCCGGTATCCCCTAATCCCTTTATAAATGTTACCTTGCTCACACTCCAACAGCACGTCAAGTCATTAAAAACCCTTTGTCTCCACTCGCTCCTATCTAACACGCTCGCGCATGCTTACTGGAAGTCCAAGACCCTTGCACACAAAACCTCTTGTACCCCTTTCCTCCAACCTTCCCTAGGCCGACTCTTTACCCCACCTTCCTTCCACTACAGATTTATATACTTTCCAAGTCATTCTACTTTGTTCCATTCTCTCAGCTTTCTGAATAATACGTTTGGTAATCCCACACCTCTTCCTAATTTCCAAAATACGGAATCTCTGCATAATCACACCACACATTGCCCTCAAACATGACATCTCCACTGCCTCCAGGCTTCTCCTTGTTGCAACATTTACCACCAATGCTTTACAACCATATAATAGCAATGGTGTAACTATACTCTCATACATTCCCCTCTTTGCTTCGGATAAAGTTCTTTGTCTCTACAAACTCCTCAGTGCGTCACTCACCTTTTTCCCCTCATCAATTCTATGATTCTCTTCTGCTGACAAGTCTACTTCTAAATATCTGAATACATTCACTTCCTCCATAATCCCTCCCTCTAGTCTGATATCCTACCTAAAGCCTCATTGTTCATTTGCGATTCTGCTCTCCGTCTTACTTTTAATTCTTTCAATAATAATTCTACCATACACTTTACCAGGTATACTTACTCCCCCAAACTTTTTACACTCTCTTTTGTCCCCTTTGCCTTCATACAAAGGAACTATGCATGCTTTCTGCCAGTCTCTAGGTATTACCCTCTTCCATACATTTCTTAAAAATTATATCCCCGCCTGCTTTTAACGTTTCTGTCTTTATCCTATCAATCCCAGCTGCTTTAGTCCCTTTCTACCCACTGCCTCACGCACCTCCCCCACACTTACAATTGGCTCTTCCTCACTCCTACAAGATGTTATACCTCCCTGTCCAATACACGAAATCACGGCTTCCCTATCTTTCCGATACGTCCAACTCTCGATCTAATAACTCTCCTTTCCTATTTTTGACTGTCAAATCCATTCGTTCCCTAGGCTTTCTCACCTTATTAATCTCACTCCAAAACTTTTTCTTATTCTCAACAAAATTTGTTGATCTCACCCAGTCTTTCATTTGCTCTCCTTATACATTCCTTCGCCACTCTCTTTACCTCTCTTTTTCTCTCTCCATATATTCCTCCCTCTTTGTATCACTTACAGCAGTGTTTATACAATACAATTTACAGGCTAAGAACTGTTATCCCGCCTCAGTTTATTTACAGCCTATTGTAATAACCAGATAACTACCATTATTATAACTACAACTACCAGACAACTACCATTATTATAACTACCAGACAACTATCGCTATTATAACTACCATTATTATTACTACCAGACAACTACCACTATTATAACCAGACAGCTACCACTATTACAACTACCAGTCAACTACCATTATTTTAACTGCCTGACAACTACCACTATTATAACTACCATTATTATAACTACCAGACAACTACCATTATTATAACCAGACAACTACCACTATTGTAACCAGACAACTACCACTATTGCAACTACCAGTCACCTACCACTATCATAACTGCCAAACTACTACCACTATTATAGCCAGACAACTACCACTATCATAACTTCCAGACAGCCATGACTATTACAACTACCAGTCAACTACTACTGTTATAACTGCTAGACAACTACCACTATTACAACTACCAGTCAACTACTACTGTTATAACTGCTAGACAACTACCACTATTACAACTACCAGTCAACTACTACTGTTATAACTGCCAGACAACTACCACTACTTTTTTACCCAAAAATTGTCTCATATAGCGATTAATAAACTTAATTTCTTACGGAACTTTAAGTTTAGAATTTTCTTGGTCAACTTACGACAGTGAGACCCGGTGAAGAAAATTGACTTACCTCCCAAACGCTCCAGTAGCACCAGGGAGGGGGCGTCGCTCCCTTTCCAGATGCTTAAGGTGTTTAAGTAACAACAGACTGAGTGGCCAGGCAAGCACCAGACGAGCCTGGCCCATGGCCGGGCTCCGAGAGAAGTAAAACTTCGAAACTCTTCAATGGTATATCATAGGTAAGGGTTGATGTGCTATATTCCTGGAAGGAAGGAAGGAAAGTAAGAAGGTAGGAAAGGAAGAAATGTAGGAAGGAAGGAAGAAAAGAAGGAATAAAGGGAGGAACGTTATGATAGGGATGAAGAGCTCGTCTCCCAGGGGTTAATAATAATAATAATAATAATAATAATAATAATAATAACAGAGTTCACAGACTTGGCCCAGCTAGCTGTCTGACTGTGTACTGACACCAAGAATACCAATACCATTCCCACCACCACCACTGTCACCACCACCACCACTGTCACCACCACCACCACTGTCACCACCATCCCCACTGTCATCACCACTACCACTATCACCACCACTATCATCA